TACAGATCATTTCACGTGATGGCTTTCAGTGCATGCTGTTGAGATATGCAATGAAAGCCATCACGTGAAATGATCTGTACGGGTTAGTTCTATGGACTGTTGTAATCGGATTCATCGAACAGCTTCCGAGAAATTTGGCGCAGTCAAAAGGCAGCAACCAAAATTGGCGCATGGAGATGCATGGTTATTAATCGTAAAAACTGAACTTGCAGACAGCATCCTTGTCGTCCGACTCAGTATCAAAACTATTCTACTCTGGCCTTATGCCGTTCGCCATTCCAAGTTCCGAGGCTTAGGCTGCAGGCTGTTATAAATGAATACGAGGTTCTCGTGGATGAGAGTTACATCTCCGGGTTTTAATTCCAGTTTTAGTTTCTACAACTGTTAACCATGTACTATCGTGCGCCGGTTTTGTTTGCTGTCTTTCGACTGCCCATTTGGATGCACATGAGGAGAAAGATAGGACGGTTGAAAGTAGAATCGAAAAGAAAATTTGGGATTTCATTGCACTTATTTTGCAGAGAAATCGATAAGATGCACGAACGTCACTGTTTGCGACACCCAGCCATATCACTCAGTGTAGCTAACTATCGGGTATGATCATCCCGAGGTCCCCAACCAGGGAGCCTAACAGGACCTATGTGACCCAGTTTCCTGGACCATCATCCCGAGGTCCCCAGCCAGGGAGCCTAACAAGACCTATGTGACCCAGTTTCCTGGTGAGGTCCCCAGCCAGGGAGCCTAACGGGGCCTATGTGACCTAGTCTCCTGGTTAGGGTTTTCTCACGCCAGGTTTTAGCTTGACCACCTTCGAATTTTTCCCACCTATTACCTACCTCGGTGAACATCGATCGCCGTGGTAACCTATTTGGTGACATGCGTAACAGATGTCCCAAACAACGTAATCTACGGAGGTCCACCATTTGCTCCAGTGGACGACCGTATTTACCCAAAACTCTGCCCCTAACCTCAGCATTGCTCGTCCGGCTGCCCCACCAGATTCGTGCAATGCTGCATAGCCAGCGGTGTTCAAACACCGACAATCTGTCTTTATCTTGTTTTCTTAATGGCCAAGTTTCTGCACCGTATAGCAGAACTGGCCGAACTGTGGCGACATACACTCGACCCTTCACAGACAGCCGGATGTCGCGACGGCGCCACAGAAGTCTCAAGTTAGCAAATGCCAACCGAGACTTCTGTATGCGAGCTGACACTTCATCCGCGATGCGTCTACCGGGTGAGTTGTAGCTTCCCAAGTAACGAAACGTATCCAATTGTTTCATTACTGCTCCCGGTATTAATCACATAACGGTGTGTATCACAATGGATAACGATCTTGGGCTGAACTATAGGTAGCTAGCGTGTTAAAATGAGCTAGAAACTTGACCCTAAGGCTACCAACAACATACGTACCGAACGGGTCAAGATGCCCTAATAGAGCATAACCTGGAAGCATGAACAATTTTCTACGAGCGCAGGATCCAATTTATTTTATCACACTCAAATGTGATAAGCAGCAGGCGGGGCGAGCCCCATAGTCATAAGGACCTGCTGTTCAGTGGTGGAAATCGGCAACCTAAGCCCCGGGACTTGGAGTGGCGAACCACAAAAGGCCCCGATAAGTTAGGCGTGCTATTGAACCGTACGACAGCAGAGCTGCCTACCACCAAAGTCGGGTGGCGGTGGAGGGGCTCGAACCTCGGGCAACAAAGCACGCCGGTGACAGAGACTAAATCGCTGCGACACCACCACCTCATTGGATCAAGCTGCAGTATTCGTACACTGTTCCACAGTTTTAAAAGCCATAAGCTTCGAGAAGATTCTTAGATCTTCAAGAAAATTACCTACTTTGGCTCAAAACATTCGTCCGTATTAAATCAAGAATTCATGAGCCAGTTATCAATTATCAAAGATTTTATACTGTAAGTTTCCCGTCACGCTAACTGAATTCAGAGAGAGAAAGTCAGAATCGCTAGACTATAGTCATGAAAACAGTTGATTTTAATTCTTGCCGCCGTATAACCAGTTTTTTCTATTGGAATTCGACCATAAAGATCCTGCTTTGGTAAAGTGTATCACCACGCAAGAGTGCATTATTTCTGTTGAGGTCCCACTGAATCGCTGGATAAAACATTTGTGGGCAAATATATTAGGCGTTCTAAATAAAAAAATAACTCATGAATGGCTTATCCATCAACCAATGCGAGGTAGGGAGCATAATTACTCACACAGCTAAGGCAAAAAGAAGATTCAGCCCTTGAAAAACAAAAATCTGTACCTGCACGACTGTATGCCCAACCTTCATCGCCTTCAAAGGCCTCATTCAGTTCTGGTCGCTTTTCTGCCTCTGCGTTTTTAATAATTCTTCGATAATTCTCAATTGCTTTCAATCGGTCAGATCTTCGAAGGGATGAACGAAGAAAGCTATTTTCCTCAGCACTTTCTTTTTCTTGGTCCAAACGTTTTTTAACCTCCTGAGCATAGTATTTGAGTGACGGTTGATCTAACTCGCCATCTAGTAGGATCAAAGGGATTGTGATGACGGAGTAATTCGTTTACCTTCGGTAACATCCTTAGTCACGGGAGAGGTTGCGGACATGGCGGAACCTTTAAAAAAATTGAAAGGCAATCAATAAGGGGAGCTTCGATAATAACAGGGTTACACAGTGGGTCTTTACAGAGAACCTGTATAACTCGATGGGTCACAGAGTTATAAAAGGTATCCCCGCACACCAGAATTTTGTCTCTTCAACTCGTTTTTTTGCTGCCCCATCTTTTCCTTGCTAGGAAAAGAGTACACAGCAAGGGTGAGATGGAATACAGCTAGCGAATGATCAATAGCATGTTACTGAATGATTGATTTCAGCAAAAGATTTGTTTGGTACAATCGAATCAGACGTTGGTGATACATACGCATATATAACAGTAAACGATGAAGAGACTGCTTCTGGCTATGGATAGTTGCCTCGTGTACCAAGGTGACCGTACGAGCTAAACAAGACGGCTTTTGTCAAGTCAAAGATCACTTCATTCACGGAAGGTCGGGATAAAACAAATTAGTCTCCTGGACCTCCAAGTTGAAGGTTCACCTGAAGTTGGCATCTTATTCGGTAAAATGATGGAGGGATAAGCGATCCAAGCAGACGGGCTTTTACTTTGTCCTACCCGCAGTCTATGGTTAGTTTTCTCTTCAGAACTAAGGGCTTCTGCAGATAACTTTATTGGTTTTCCTGCTCAGTGGTTGAACTCTTTAGTATTACTCATCCATTTTTACATTGACAAATCATTGGGAGCAAACAATTGTTCTCCATGATTCCTGATCAATTTTATTGCCCATAGTGTAAATTACACTATGAGTAAATCCGACGGTCAAAAGACAGTGTAAAAGGGAGTGTGGGGTAGGACACTGATCCTATGTTTAGAGAGTAAAAGAATGCAAGTGGATGAGAAAACAGAAAGCTGCTGGTTCATTGGCACGTTTCAGATTCCAGTTTTTATGCTGGTCTTCATAAGGTTAATCCAATTCTTATTTGGCCTCCCAAGCGGCAGAGCCATCCGATTTGGAGAGCTGGGTGGAAGCTGACTCTCAAAATTTCATTTTCTGATCGCTGCGGGAATTGGCGAAAAGCTTCAATTTGCGGATATCAGCATTTTTATCGGTCATGTTTTACGACTATAGGGGAGCACTGGTTTGAGGGCGGCTTAAAATACAAGCATTTTTGTGAGAGAGCTCATTACTTTGCGTGCCCACATTGTCTAGCGAAGTTTTAAGAATGATAGTCTAAGGACAATTTTATTTCGTCCGTTGCCTGGCCGTTGGGTAGGATCGTGAAACCGAGGTATTCGAAGGTTTCCAGCTGTTCGACTAGATCCTCACTGATTCGCATTTAGTGCGGTAGGCAAACTGGTGGGGTAAAGAAATGCATGTCTTTGGATATGCTGAACTGCATCAGATACCATTCGCACGAGTACTGGTGTGGGCGATGACTACTTGCAGCGGGGAAGAATCCTCGTCAAGGATGTCGCCCGCGAATTTAATATTCGTCATCGACGTAGTTGGCTAGTGCATGTTCTATTATCCAATCGAAGGCGAAATTAAAACTACTGATAATACTAGACAGCCTTGTCATACTTCCGAATTCAAACAAAATTCCATCCACTCTAGTCNCTAGTCCATTCAAGGAAAATAAGCGTGAGGAATCCGATAGCACACCAATTCGTCATCAGAAACACCGTTTTGATCGATGGGTTGAATTTTCTAACACCTACATCGACTGGCTCCTATCAACATTTGGTTTGTCAACAACTAAATAGTTGGGAAAATACCACAAGTTGAAGCTAGTCCTCCATCTGAACCGGAGGTTTCTCGCGAAACCATTAACCATGCACTTTCGTGCACCGGTTTTGGTTGCTGTCTTTCGACTGCCCATTTGGATAAAAGAGCGACATAAAGATTGAAATGTCGAAGCAAATTCAAGCAGAAGATGGGGTATACATATAGAGTGGTGTTAGGAAAATAA